CCCCCCCGAAACCCAAACACAAAATCACACATCCCAGCACAGCGTGTATGTACACATACAGACGTACAGACAGAACCTGTGAAGCGTTCACCCGGCCTGGCATCACACGTCCCGCCCTGCAACGGCGGCAAGGAAGAGGGTCAGTGCGACGGCACGGTTCATCTCTGACCCATCCTCGGCTGCCCTCTCCCTCAGTGCCGCCAGCGCCCCCTCAGTGCGATCGATGGCCTCCATCGAGTCGATGCTGTCCTCCACTTGGGAGAAGACGATGTCACTGGCACGCGGCAAGTCGAGCTCGTCAAGGACACTCACCACCGACCTGAAAAATGCATGGCACACACATCCATCCAATCCATCCATCCATGAAGCCATGGATGCAGCCTGAGGCTTTCCTGCGCTTCCCCACCCACCGACGCACCGACCTTTGCAGCTCCTCCTTCCTGCGCTCGAATGTGCTGATTTCCTCTCCCTCATCCGATGCCCCACCGGCTGCTGGTGACACCCCCTTGGTGATCTGCGCGCACCGGAAGCATGCTTTACTCCAGAATCGATGGACACGCGCCAGACGTTCGTCCTCAGACAGCTCTGCCGGCGCATTGTCATCGCCCACCATATCCATCAGCAGCTTCTCAAATTTATCGAGCATCCCACGGCTACGGAAACTGACACAGACAGACAGACAGCAAGCAGCGCGACGAATAGCCGTCCATGTGCCATGAATTGCCGGCGTTCGTCTGTGTGTTGGTTCTGCTTACGTCTTGATGTGTAAGAGCGCCTGATCCACAAAGTAGGGGCTCAGCTGCAGGCGCTCCTTGACGCTCAGCAGCACGCCCTCGACATGGTCACGTTTGGCTTCGATGCTCTCTCCGTCAGCCACCAGCCGCCCTTCTGCCGCTCCCATGGATGCACAGACGGCGCGCGAGTCCCGCTGGCGCTCGAAACGACGCGATCGTCGTGGCACGCTTGGAGAGCGGTTTCACGAATGCCCTAAGTTTGATTTTTAAGCTCGCAGTGGAAGGAGCAGCCCAGCGAACCGCGAATTGCCTGTGTACCAGCTTCGAGGAGGCCTTCCTGTCATCGCATCGTCGTCTCGACATCGAGTCGGCGTTTTGTCGTGCCACCCCATCGTTCCTCGTTCGTCTGACACCCATCTGACCCGGAGAGGTCCCCTGTGTCATCTGTAGCTGTCGGCAAGATGTGGATGGGCAAGATAGGCAGCAAGAGCGCCAACTTCATCATGCACAAGCCCTTCCACCCGGGCAACTTCCAGAACCTCGAAAAGGTCTGGCAGGCCGAGGAGAAGAAGAAGCGGGAGGAAAAGATGCAGCAAGAGATGCTCGAGCGCAGACAGGAGGAAAGCAAAATCGAGGAACTCAGGCGCGCCGTGCGGCAGCGCGAGATGTCCGAGCTCACGCCCACTCAGTCCGAGATGAAGGCCACTGGCAAGAGGGACCAGGGCAGGCCAAAGGCACAGAAGCCCATCAAGGTCGACCAGTCCAGCCGACCCGTCAACAAGTCCAAGTACAAGGAGGACGTGCACGTCAACGGCCACACGGCCGTCTGGGGGTCGTACTATGACCCGGACATGCAGCAGTGGGGCTACAAGTGCTGCCGATCCACAGACCGGCACGCCGAGTGCACCGGGAGGGTGGGTGATACACGGGAGAGCGAGGCGCAGAAGCCGCGGGACGCGTCCAAGAAGCGTCCACACCCACCTGAGGAGGAGGGGAGGGAGAGGGACGGGGAAGCTGCTGCTGCTTCTGCCACTTCTTCTGCCGCTGGTGCCCATCCGAGGAAGAAGGTCAAGAGCAGCCGTGGGCCGGCCCTCTCCAGCGGGCTCGCCGACATCTTGAAGCGGTTGAACGACGAGCCAGGGGGATAGACAGACAGAAAGGGGAGCAGTCATGTGTGGTGGAGCCTTTCTCTTGATCGATGCGTGTGTGGGCTGTGCGGATTCTTTTTGCTTGCTCTAGCCCTGCCAGTCCTTTGGACACGTACACGTGTGTGTATGTATCTGCATGGAGTGGTGGACGCACAGTATACCGACGAATTGGCTTTATCGAGCAACTTCTTGTCCATGCACTCGTTGACGCATGTGTGCGTGTGTGTCATGGCTGCCAGACTCTGAATGATGCGTCTGATGAAGCCGAGACGAGCATGCTGCCGCGGGGATCAAACACCACATCCTGCACTCGACAAATGACACATCCGCATATCACATCAGCCAGTACAAACAAGTTTGTTTCTTGTCACCTGTACAGCGTCTTCGTGTCCCTCCAGGTTGCTGACAAACGCTTGCTGCTCAACATCGAACCTGCCACCCCACCCACACACGTGCACCAATGGATGGATGGATGGATGTGGTGTTGGTTGTACAGTTTGATGGATGCGTCCCCCGATGCGATGGCCAGCGTGTTGCCGCTCGGGTCGTATGCCGCTGCGTTGGCGGGGTAACGACCTACAGCAGGACACACACATACACCCACACCCACACACACACACACACACACACCACACACGTGTCTCTCCCTTTCGCCTATCTGTTCGTGTGTCCGTGCCTGTGTCGATTTGCAGTATTTCGGCGATCTTTCGGACGTCCCAGAGTTTGACGATGCCGTCAGCATCGGATGACGCCACGACCGCACCCTGATTACACATATGATGACATGGAGAAAAACAGCACCTTGGTTCGTGCGCCAATGGTTGGCTGCCTAACATGACAGCAGTTTATTTTCCTGCCTGTGAGTTGAGGGTGGCGTGGTTGCATGCGTTGCTGTGGCCGTAGAAGGTCTGCACGCACAGGCCTGACCGCATGTCCCACAGAGACACCTGCATCAAGCGACGAACAAACAATACACAAGCATCTATTCGTTGACCGTTTGTCAATGATCTCGGTGACCGTTTTGTCGCCCGACGCGGTGCAGATGATGGCGCTCTGTGGCTGGAACTTGGCCGAGTTGACAGCATCCACGTGGCCGCGAAGCGTCTGCCGGCACCGGTGGCTGCAAGAACACACCGACGCCCACACCATCTTGTTAGACAGGCTTGTATGTCTCGTGTCCTGATCCATGTATGTGTTTTTCCTTGCCTGTTCAGGTCAAAGACGCGGGCGGTGTGGTCCATGCCGGCCGTCACAAGGAAGTCGCCTGCAATCAAGACACACACACAGACAGCAACAGAGACACACAAAGCAGCCTCTCCCTCTCTGGGTGTGTGTCCGTTCGTTCGTTTATTGATCCCTTAGCATCTGTGATGCGCATCTCACCTCCACAGTGTACGTCGCATCCCCACACTGCCGACGAGTGGTCCTTGAACGTGTGCACACAGCGCTCCTTGACGAAATCCCACACCTTGGCGGTGCCGTCGCCCGACGTGCTGATCAACCGACTGCCGCGCGGATGGAAAACCACACCGCTCAGCCAATCCTGATGACGTATCAGTGGATGATAATGAGAAAGGCAGCAAATGCTTACACTCACGCATTCACTGGTTCACTCACTCTGTGCCCCTCCCCGCTCATGACGAGCTCGCCGCCGGGCATCGACCAGGTCTTCCACGTGCGGTCGTCGCTCGCCGTCGCCACTGCACGCACATACAACACAACACAACACAACACAACACAGCACAGCACATAACGACATTCAATTCATCGACAGACTGGTCCGTCCAGTTGATGTGTGCGTGTCCTACCGAGTGGCATCTTGGGGTGGAAGGCGACGGCAGCGATGGCAGCCATGTGGCCCTTGAAGGTGCGGTGCAGCTTGAGCCTGGCCGCGTCGACAGCGGGGCCGGTGGTGGCGGTGCTGGTGACAGTCACCTGCATCCCACCGACGCCCCTCCGCTGCCTCTCGTCGGCCGGCCAGGGGGTGTCCTGCAGCTGCGGGCGACGCTTACGACTCTCTGCGCACCACACGCACGCACAGAGGGAACGGCCGGAATCAGGGTGAGACTGGTGTGCTCACTCACCTTCAGTGGAGACGCCCTCTGTCTGCGACGGCCCGCCCTTAAGCCGGGCTTGCGGTGCGGTGGAAGTGCTGGGCTGCTGCAGCGATGTCTCGGCCGCACCGGTGGCGGTGGTGGCGCCCGCACCCACCTCGCCGGCCTCTGACTTCTTGGTGGTCTGTCGCTGCAGTGTGTCGACTTTGCCCAACAGGCGGTCTCGCTCCAGACGGAGCAGCATCTTCTCCTTCATCACTGACTGAAAGACAGACAGACAGACAGACAGACACATGGGATGGGAGACACACAGTGAAGGGAGATGACGAAGGAGAGCTGGATGCCACAAGGCGGGTGTGTTGTGACCTCGTATCTTGTTTTCAGTTCGTGAAGGGTGGGCTCATACTGGTCGTAGTGCTTCTTGAGGCGACGCAGATCAGCTGCGGTAAATGTTGTCGACAACATGGCAACAATGACTCGCTGGGTGAGAGCGTCCATCCATCCATCGGCTTACTGATGAGTTTGTTCTTCTCCTGCACGACCCTTCTGTGGTGCATCCGGTGGAAATCACGCTCCTTACGAAACTTGTCCCAACCAGACCTGTCGCCACACACACACACACACACACAGACGCGCGCGCTCGTTTCCTGCACATTTGTGAGTGAATCCCCGCCCTTCTTGTCTGTCTGTCTCCCTAGCTCACTTGGCCTTTGCAGCGATGGCCCTGGTTTGGCTGAGCTCCGTCTTGAGTGATCGGATTTCGTCAGCCATGGTCTGCTGCGTGACGTAAACATCGGGGACCACCAGGGCACCCTCACTGTCCGCCAGCTTCCCAGCCTCCTGCAGCTCGTACCACTCACTCTGAATCAATCAACCAATGAAGGAATCAATGCACAGACACAGACACAGACACAGAGACACAATTGAGACGAGGGCGCGGCGCGTGTGTGTGTCGGTGAGTGAGTCGGTGTGACCTGGAAGGCCTCGAGTGTCTCTTTCATGTTGAATTTCATGAGAAAGTTGCGAATGAAGTCGTCGACCACGGCGGGACGCTCGGACGCCTCGGGCAGACCCCGCGCCCTCCCCGCCTCCTCCTCAGCCTCTGCACCACACTCAACCACACAACCAACACGACCGTCCATCCATGCATCCTTTCTTGCCTTGCTTGTCTGTCTGCCTGTGTGTCTGTGTGACCTTTTGTTTCCTTGGCCTGTGCAATGAGTTTGTTGAGGTCGTTGATGTCGTCCTCCTCCTCGTCCTCCTCACCCTCGGCGGGCAGCCCCTCCTCGTCGAGCTCCTCCACCTCGAAGACGTCCTCATCCTCACTCAACTCTGATGGACCACGCCACCCAGGGATGGATGGATGGATAGATGGATGGATGGATTGGTCAGGATGGTCAGTCACACACATCCAACACCACACAACACAAACACAGACACAGATCCAGATGGCATTGCAGTGCAGAAAAGGCTGAGGGTCATCTTTGTTGTATGTGTTTCCACCTTCAACGTCGACGAGAGGCTCGACCTCGTCCGCCATCGCCATGTGCCTTTCGCCTGGGGGCTGCGCGCTTGGGGGCGAGACTTCGCCTGAGCGCGCTACGCATCTCGGGAATCCGCTCATTTTTCCAGAGAAGCAGCGAGAGCCCAGCCTCAGATTCGAGCAGCGCAGCTGCGGAGCGATATCATTCCCTCTCTGCGGTGAGGCGTTGGTCAGCAGCCATCGCAACGACGTTGACAAGCATGGACAGGAAACGGAGGCCTTCTCTCTGAGCTGTGGAGCGTCCCCTCAGTCAGTTCTCTCATCCTCATCTCTCTTCTTCCTCTCGCTGCAAACTATGCGGAGCTGTGACATCGAGAGTGACGCAGCCCTATCGCTGAGCCCTCTGCACGCCCCGTCATCGCACAGCAGCAGCACCACCTACACAGCCTGCTCCCTCTCTGATGGCCACGGCAATGCGGCAAAGACAACAGCAGGAGCATCTTCGTGGGCCCAGTCGAAGCTGGGCATCCTTGGGTTGCTGGGTCTGGCATTCTTCTCCGTGTCGGGCGGCGTGTACGGGTCGGAGATGCTCGTGCGGTCCCTGGGGCTGCCCTTGGCCATCGGCGGTCAGCTCGCCATGTGCGTCCTCTATGCCTTTCCCTACTCGCTCGTCTGTCTGGAGCTCTCCCTCATGATGCCGCACAACGGAGGGCCAATGGTAGGCACCCCTCATGGTGCAGAGGAGAGGGAGAGGAGGGGCAGCAATCAGTCTGTAATCGATTGGGATAACCTGCCTGCCTGTATGTGTCAGGTATGGGCCCGATACGGCCTCGGACCGCTCTCAGGGTTTCTGACCGGTATTATCTATTTGGCCTATGAATGCACTGTGCTCGGGTGAGTCACCGACGACTGATGGAACCATACCGACTCTTATCATCGCACTCTCTTGGGTGTCAGTTCTTATTCTTCATGCTCGGTCGGGTATTTGTCCAAGTGGGTGCCGATGTTCGGCACCGATGAGCGCTTCGAGACGGCCTTCAACTTCACCATCATGTTCCTGGGGCTCTTCATCTGCACACTCAAGATCGACCAGATCGGCTCGGTGTTCGTGTGCCTCACCGTGGGGGCCATATTGCCCTTTGTAATTATCCTGCTTTGGGCCCCTGTGGCTGTGTCGCCAGTGGCCTTCATGAGCATACCCAAGTACCCCCACCAGATGCAGCTCTTCGCTGGCATCACGACATTGATTTGGTGCAACTCTGGGTAAGCACAAAGACCTCTCTCTGGAAGAGAGAGAGAGGCTCTCATGCCCATGTGTGTGCGTCTGTTTTTGTTTGTGTGCGTGTCTTGTTTTGTGTGTTGTGCAGCTACCACAGTGCTTTGACGCGAGTTGAGGACAACAGCGATCTGCGTAACGTCCCAACAGCCATGCTGGTCAACTGCATCGTCGTCTCCATCTCATACGTCCTGCCGCTCTGGGCAGGTGAGAAAGCCCTCGGCACACCACACACGAACGTGTGTATGCGCGCCTCTCTCTGCCCTTCCTTCTCACACTGCAGGTGCGGCGGTGCTGCCGACCTACATCGCGTGGACCGACGGGTATTTCGTTGAGGTGGCCAGAGCTATCGGCGGCGGCCTCTTCGGTGTTGTTCTCGGCCGCCTTGTCATCGCAGGCTCGGTCATCTCGGCACTGGGGCAGTTCGTGGGCGACCTCACCACTTCCTGTGAGTTCGTCGCTTGCATGGCCGACCACGGCTACCTTCCCTCATTCCTCGCCGAGCGCACCAGCAACCAGCAGCCCGTCCGCGCAATGGTGGCCCTCTTCGTGTTCGCCATGGCATGCTCGATCTTCCTCAAGTTCACGAGCCTCACGAGTATCTCGTCCCTGTCTTACGCCGCAACCAACGTGATTGTCTATGCGGCCTTCCTGCATCTGCGGTGGACGCGGCCGGACCTCGGTAGGGCATGTTGGGTGCCCATCCGCTCTTTCTGGGGATGTGTGGCTTTCTGCGCTCCCGGCGTGTTGATATCCCTGCTGCCGTGCTTTCTCGCCATCTGGTACAGCTGGAGCTACGAGGTGGTCCCGTCTATCGCTCTCGGCTGTCTGGTCATCGTCACCATCCTGGCGCCCTTCTCCCTCTCACACGTCAAGAGGAAAGAGCAGTTCTTGCACTTCTACACCAGCCAGAGCAGCCACGTCAGCCACAGCCACCCGACCTATTGCTCGATCGACGTGTCGGTGCCACGGGAGGATGTGCTCACCCCCACCACTGTGTCGTCCGCTTCCTCATCCACCACCAGCACCACCACCAGCAGCAGAGGGAGCGGGTCTCCTGGCAAAGAGACAGACAAAGAAAGCGGTGGCAGACAGATTCTGGGCTGGGCGTCTTTATCTCGGTCGAGAGAGCTGACGGACAAGGCAGAGTGGCTGCCGTCGATTCTGGCGGAGGGAGAGGGCGGCAGACACCATGGCGCGGGCAAGAAGAGATAGCACACATGGATGGATGGATGGGCTGATTGGGTGTGCAGTGGATGGGATGGATAGCTTCGTGCGTGCGTGCTGTGCAAGTGTTTGCTTAGTAGATGGGATGAGATGCTGCTTGTCGATTCAGGAAGTGCAATGGCGTATACAGCCACACTATACATTATACACACACTATGGTATGTATGGTCTTGAGTTCGTTTTGAAATAGCTGCGTACGCGCAACGTGTGTATGGTTTTATTTCGCCGTGATTGATCGATCTGCATGCGTATGCGTGTGGACCAAAGGAAACGCATTTCCTTTATCGTGCGCGTGATGTGTGAAAGAGTTGCCTGTCCGCTATATCCACGCAATCATGCAATCACGTGACTGCCATTCAACATGTACGCTTGCCGATGTATGCGCGAAAAAAGCCTCCCAAAAGCATGGAAGGCACGCACTTGCCTTGCCTTGTTCCAAAATACCAATCCCTTGCCCCGGCACATATGAATGAATGCCGGACATGGCTATCCCCTTACTGCTGAGCCAATAGTTGACTGCCTTAGGTTTCTTCCTTGCTATCAGACCACACACACACACACACACGGGCACACACAGACGAGACATGAAACATGATACACCACGCCCACAAGCACTCAGCAAGATCAGAGGCCGTGCATTCCTAAGAGGAAGGAAAAAAGGGCACGTACGTCAGCTTAGGTGAGGATGTCTAAGAAACTAGTGTGTCTAGCGTATCAGTCAGTCAGTCAGTCGAACGGCTTAATGGCCATCTTGCTCTCGTACTCCTGCCCACACATAATGCACTCCTTGCCTTGGAACTTGTCCACAAAACACTCTGGACATAGCGAAGAGGCGAAGAAGGAGTAAAGCCAGCGATTGCGTTTCCATCCATCCATCCATCCATCCATGTATACCTGTGCACATGGTGAGGTGCTTGCAGGGCATGAACAGAATCGATGCTGCTTCTCGTGACATATCTTGCACATACTGCATCAACCGCAAAGCAATGGCACAATCGCGTTCTGTCCCTCCCTTCATTTGCTCCATCCCTCCCTCCCTCTCTCTCTCTGTCAGTCAGCCAGCCCTTGTCCCTACCCACATACCCACCGTTTGTCCTTTTCGTCCTCTTTGGCCTGTTGCTCTGCCGCCAGCTCCAAACGTAGCTCCTGTACCGTGCTCTCCAGCTCGGCCAAACGCAGCCGCATCGAGTCCAGCTCGGCCTCACTTGAACTCACATTCGTCGACCTGTACACACGGATAACAGCCACAGAACCACACATAGCATGCCGCCCCTCATCAGGCATCCCCTCCATCGCCACTTGGCAACTCACTCATGACGGTTCTCGCCCGATACTATCTCCTTGGCATCTGCGATTTCCGCCGTATCGGTGCCGGCCCTCTCGTCATTACCACCGCCACGGCCACCAGCGTCGCAAGAAAGCGATACTGGTGGCCGGGGTCCCACTGGTGCAGGAGGAGGCGGGTAGGTTGGCCGCGGCAGCAGGCCAGGCCACTGCGAGTCGGATGACACCTGCGTCTCGAACACCGGGGGGATGGGCGGGGGCGTGATGTCGACGTTGCTGGACGCCAACGGCTGTGGTCGGGTGTCTGGCGTCAAGTTGCGGCCTCTGTAAAAACCATTCACATTGAGAAACCATCGACGGTCGTTGGCTTGGCGTTTGGATGTGTGACTCACAGCCATGCGTCGAGCTCCTCCATCGTATGTGCATAGTTGCATCTGTCGCCGAATCTGCAACCATGACCTGCACCGACGATGGGGGCGCACAGACGATGGCATCCATCCATCCATCCATCGATTGTTTCTGTAAGCCCTGATGCAGTAAGTGTACCCTACCGTGGCTGTCGACATACTCGCACATCTTCATCCGCAGGTAGGGCGACTGAAGCTCCCTGAACAAAGCACACACACACGGACACACAAGATGGCATTCAGTGTGCGCCGCCCATCCGTCTGTCGTGTTGACGATGCAATGAGCCGACTGACTTTCTGCCATGGGCAAACCGGCACCTGCATACACACAAGCCATCGAAGCCCTTATCGTCTGTCATAATCAATGGCGTAGTACCCCTACCGTTCTCCGAATCGACACGAGCCACTGTTGTAGTAGTTGCACAACGTGCTTTTGTACTTGTCGGCTGAACACAATGAGTGAGCGTGCCCTTTGTGCATAGGCATATGTGGATAGATTCATGGAGGCGATTTGGACAAGCGAGTGCATGGATGCCATCTGTCAATTATCTCTTCCCTCAAAAGAAAAAAGCTGAACACAATGAAGGCACTCAGATGAGCCACGCACGCAGGCAGGCTGACTGGGGAGGCTCTCTCTGTCAGCTTACGATCCCAGAACTTGTCCATTGCTTTCCTTGTGGGCGTAGTTCTGCAAAGCTTGAAGCGAAGCCTCCGAATACACAGGAATACACACGGCAATGCGAAACCCGTTGTAGGAATTGAGCTCGCAAGTGTGAGTGACGGCACACATTCCGGAATTGAAACAGAGCATTGCGATGGATGGGTCTCGCATGAAGAAAAACCACTGAGAAAAAGCAGACAGAAAGATGCATACAGTACACTTGGTCTTCTGCTTCATTCACAGAATCGATTCCAACACACAGGACAAGGATGGATGAATGTATGTATGGCTCAAACAAGGATGGCATCAATCGCATCACATCACGCTCACGCATGCAGCCATTGTGCGTGTGTAGGAGAGGGGACAGGCAAGCACAGTCATGATCAAAACGTCGTAGCGACACAGAGAGAGGCATGCATTCACATTCACAGAAAGAGATAGAGAGAGAGAGGCACGACACTCAGACAGATCCCTCTGTCTGTTTTCAGTCGATGACCTTGAGAGGCTGCCTCTGCAGCTGCACAGCGGTGGGGGGAGTCTTGTCGCCAGCTTTGCGACGCTCCTGCGCACAAGACAGCCAAGACAAACAAACAACGGAAGCATCCATCCATCCATCCAGCCATCAATCATTGACCATCTTACCTGTTGGTCCAGTTCGTCCTTGAGTGCGACTGCGTATTGGTGCAGCTCCTCGTCGCTGAAGTGCTCCGGCTCAGGCACGTACCCGTCGGCAAAAATGTACTCGCCGACCTCCTGCATAAAATGCATCGTCACAGCCGCACCCAGATGCACACCGGTGGACGAGGAGTTTGCGTGGTCGTCTCGTACCTCTACTTTCGGTTCGGGTGACGATTCGGCGAAGCTGACGGAATCCTCGACAAGAGCACGGACCTGACACACAGGCAGACAGACAGACAGATAGACCGACAGTATATGTGTGAATGTGCATGAGGGCTCCATGAAGGCTCGTGCACATTCAGACCTTCTTTTGTGTTTCCTTGAGGAGGTAGTCGTTGCTGTAGCCCATGTCCTTCATGTACTCGCCAAATGTGGCGATCGGGTCACGCGCAAGCCAGGCTGACTTCTCGAGAGGGGCTCGCAGCTCATCGGGGTCAGCAAGAGAATGACCCCTGAGCACACACATACACAGTAATGGATACCGACTCCTTTGCCTGGCTCTCTCGAGAGAAGCGCACCGGAATCTGTAAGTGAGTGCCTCGATGAGAGTGGGTCCCTCCCCGGCCCGCGCACGCTTGACAGCCTTGCGTGCAGCTGCCCGGACAGCCAGGACGTCCATGCCATCGACCTCATAGCCGGGCACGCCAAACGCAGGTCCCTTCTTGTAGATCTCAGGCACAGATGTAGAGCGGTAGTGAGCCATACCGATGGCCCTGCACGCACACAACACAGGCAACACGAAACATCCTCCCATCCAATGGATGGAGTAGGTATGCTCATTCAGTCATCGCTTACCAGTTGTTGTTTTCGACGACAAATATGATGGGCAGTCGCGCCAGGGCGGCCATGTTCATTGCTTCGTAGAAGATGCCGTTGTTACTGGCACCGTCGCCGAGAAAGCAGACGACTACCTGGTCGGCCGACTCGTCGAGCATCTGCTGCCGCCTGTACGCGATGCTGAAGGCCGCCCCGAGGGCAATGGGGACGTTCTCAGAGATGAAGGCAAAGCCGCCCATGACGCCCCACTCCTTGGAGAACATGTGCATGGACCCGCCCCTGCCCTTGGAGCAGCCCGTCTCCTTGCCGTACAGCTCCGCCATGACCTCCCGCGCCGGGACGCCCTTACTCAGAGCGTGCACGTGGTCGCGATAAGTCGACGAGATGACGTCGTCCTTGCGGAGGCACTTGATGATGCCTGTACTGACGGCCTCCTGCCCGTTGTAGAGATGCACGAAGCCCGCCACCCTGCCGCGGTAGTACATCTGGGCGCACATGTCCTCGAACTGCCGCCCGAGACACATATCCTCGTAGAGCATCTGAGCAACCTTAGCATCCACATTCGCCCTCATGCTGCGAAGATAATTGCGCTTCGGCAGATCAGCGGGCGCTGGCGGGGCCTCTGCGGTGCTCGTGGCGATGTTCTGCAGCGCCGAGACGGACATGGACGGGGAGAGGCGGGCAGGCGAGGGACGGGTGCTGCTGGAGTGCAGGAGGGAGGGACGCGGGAGGAATGCATGGAAGCCGTGGGTGTGAAGGACGCCCAGCAGGGCCAGCAAAGAAGATAATGGCGTCCACATTGCCAGATCCGATTCTCCCCTTTGAATGCGAGCTCACGATTGAATTTTGCGAGCTCAGATCTCTCGCGAACCGCACTTAGCTTATCTCCATGTCTCTCAACCGATCCAGCCATTCATGCAGAGAGAGACAGATAGAGAGGCCGTGGGTGCATGGATGTGTACGTATATATATATACATAGGTGTGTTCAGGCAAGGCAGCAGAGATGGACCACAGGCGCACGTAAATCGCATCCCACCCACCACATGCAGCAGATGTATCCGCACAGCATCAGCATCCATGGGGTCACGCAAAAACAATATGGAGTCAGGACGACACACACAGAGAGAGAGGAAGGTAACCCGCCCGTCGACCCACCCACCCACACGCATCAATCAATCGCCGTGCACCCACAAGGAGGCAAAAATGACTGCATGGGAGCAGCCGGTCTGTCTGGTGTCATGACATGTGTGTGTATGGATGGACAACGAGTGTGAAACACACACTGCCATGTCTGTGTGCATGAAGCAAGCAATGCGTCACACATGGATGGATGGATGGATGGACACACACAGTGGGTGGCGCATCGGTCGGCCTGTCCTTGGGCATGCATACATGTGTATGCACATTCAGAGAGAGAGAGAGAGAGGGAAGGATATGTAAGCCCGTCGAAAGGCCAGCCAGTCGGCCGCCGCGAGCGACCATTCAGAGAAACGCCCTGCATCACCGAAGATGCAGCAGGCGCCCCCTGAATGGCACTCGCGGCACGACCACGACAGAGCAAAGAAATCCCCTCTCACAATACACGACAATCCATCTCCGCCCCCC